ATTCAGGCTTGCAAGAAAATTTTAAGAGATCACATGCCCTTACGGACGGTGCAGTGGCTGTTTGTGGAACTTTCCAGCCGTGAACAAGCGCTTCCCTAAGTATATTTGGCCTTGCCATAGCCACGTGGAGAACCCGAAGAGAAACCAACACGTGCTAGAGTCATTTACCAGCCAAGCCATCTAGTGTTTGGCATCACAAGCGTTAAGTTTTCTTCAGTAATGCTAGACTTAAAAATATTTTCTTCTGTTTGCCCTGATTTTGGACTTAATTTTAAACTTTTATTTTAGTTTTTAAAGAAATCTCCAAATCTTAAATTTGTTTTTTGTAGTAATTACTTTGCCAAAGAAGCATAAAAAGAAAAAAGACCGGAAGCCATTACAAGAAGATGATGTAGCTGTGAGTAGGAAATGTTTTACTTTGCTTTGAGTGAGAGAAATAGAGATAATTTAAACACATTAAAGGGGGAAAATGCTTTAAAATATTCTTAATCAGTATGTTGGCACTTATTGGTCCTTATGTAGAACCAGCAAAAACCTGGAATAACAGCTCCTAGAGAAGTTTTCTATCATGCACGGCTTACTAAATGGTGAAATGTACTCCCTGAATTTTTCTTATTCCATCAGCAGACCCACAGTATTGTTAAAATATTTGGTCTCAACTTGCTCTCCCTAAGGTTTAGTGAGCTCCTTTTTCGATTCTCTTTCAAATGTCCTAGTGACACTCAGTTTCAGAAATCAACACCCCTTCCCTCTTGTTTCTTTAAAAGACGTGCACTTCTGTCCTAGTATTAGAATTGTCCTAAGTCGGGTGGGAAGATAAATGTTTCTACTCTCTTGAAGGAAATACAACATGCTGAAGAATTTCTTATCAAACCAGAATCCAGAGTAGCCCAATTGGACACTTCTCAGTGGCCCTTGTTACTAAAGGTATGTGCTGTGTGTATCAGAAGAATGCTTGAATTTCATATTATTTCTAATTAAACAGCTAATAATTAAACTGCTAGGCTGGGCATGGTGATATGCATGACTTTAATCCCAGTGGGCCAGACCAGCCTGGTTTACATAGAAAGACTCTGTGTCAAAATAAAAAAAAAAAAAGAATGCTTAGTGCCAGCATGTTTTACATTTAGAAAACTGCCAAAAGATGCAGCATTAAGGCAGTTTTTCAATGTATCTGAGATGAAGGACTCATGTTTTTAATTTGTAATTTATCCAACATTGTTGTGGAACATAGTATGTCACCAAAATGTTCATTACTGTCAGTTTTAAACAGTTGCACTTCTGAAATCATCTCTTGTAGACTGTTTCAGTGCCTAAGAGCATTTTGAAGCTTTGGATTCAAAATAGAATGTGACCTTGGACTAGACACTTAACTAACCTCACTGAGTCTATTAGTTGCTCATATTTTGTCTTAGGATGGTGTGCTGGGAGTTATGGCAGGTATTCTATGAAACATGCTTAACGGTTCCTGATTGTATGTCATAGATTTTATGGTTATTATTTAGGGACTTAATGGTGACATTGAATAATGGGTTGAACTAAATTTTATAATTTTCACAAAGTAGTTATGACATCTCTTAACAAAGGGGTTTTTAAATATAAATTTTTATTAATTTATTAGAGTGGGTGAAATACGTGGTGCACGCCACACATGACATGGCATGGGAAAGTCAAAGGACAACTTGCAGAAGTCCATTCTCAACTAACATGTGAGCTCCTGAGGTTGAACTTAGATTGCCGGGCAACAGGCATCTTTACCCACTGAGCCATCTCACTGACACCAACAAGTATTTTAATAAACCATACATATGTGTTGGTAAAATAATGAGGTTTGTTTATATCATTCAACGAAGTTGAATTTGGATGTTGGCCCTGGAAAAATAGTTAGCACACAGAGATGAGAGAAACAATTAAACAAGCATTGCTATTTGTAGTTGGCATAATGGAACTAAACTGATGATGAAAGATGGGCTTTTTAGTTGGTGAATTCTTCCTGACTAGTGGCTAAGCCTTAGTCAGGAGACTGAAAAGGAACAGACAAAGCAGAGGTAGGTAGGTATCTGGAACAGAACCAAGCTGCCCATGTTGAGGAAATTGCCAGCTGTCTTCAATTTGGTTGATCTGAGAAAGTCAAAGCTATTTTGTGTTTAAAGATTTATTTAATGTACACCAGTGTTTTGGCTGTATATATTCTGTGTGAGGGTGTCAGATGCCCTGGACCAGGAGATGCAGACAATTGTGAGCTGCCATGTTGTTGCTGGGAATTGAACCTGGGTCCTCTGGAAGAACAACCAGTGCTCCTAGCTGAGCCATTTCTCCAGCCCTGCTATTTTGTGTTTTACAGTACCCTCAACAAGTTGTTTTTTTTTTTTTTAGAACATTGACTAAATTCTCAGATTTGTTCTTTTCTCAATAGTATTGGGAGTTTCCCCAGTACATAAGAAGGCTTAGTAGTGTATCACACCAATAATAGTGTTAATAATAGAAACAAAATTGTACATTTATGGGCTTGAAGGACTGCCATGGTTGGTAGTGGTACTTACTGACTCTTATTTTACTTCTGTCAATGTGTTATTAAACTTATATTATTGCTTTCTAGAATTTTGATAAGCTAAATGTAAGGACAACACACTATACACCGATACCTTGTGGTTCAAATCCTTTGAAGAGGGAGATTGGGGACTATATCAGGTAAGCATGATTAAGTGGCTCTGTCCAAACTTAAATTATTTTTAAATGAATACTTTCACATTAGTTATTCAAGGAAGTGGTGGCAGCTTAGAACAGCTTTGCCCTGAATATATATATAGTCTGTATATGTGATTTATTTGCTTTTTTTATAACTCTTCATATTGTTTTTAGACCACAAGAACAGGTGGTAACATTTTTTTTTTCTATTCTAGGACAGGTTTCATTAATCTTGACAAGCCTTCTAACCCCTCTTCCCATGAGGTGGTAGCCTGGATCCGACGAATACTTCGGGTAGAGAAGACAGGTCACAGTGGCACACTAGATCCCAAAGTGACTGGTTGTTTAATTGTGTGTATTGAACGAGCCACTCGTTTGGTGAAATCACAACAGAGTGCAGGTGTGTAGAAGAGAGAGTAGGGGCTATCTCTTTAGTGATTGGAAAACATTCTATACTTGTTTCACTTCTACATTTTGGCTCTTGGAAACTGTTTCTTTAGAAAATAAAATCTTAACGCAGGAATGTCATTTGGTTTATATAATTTTGTTCTCTGATAGAACCTGGTGGTTGTTTTTTAAAAGTCCACACACTAGGCATGTATATATGGAACTAACTAGTCCATTCCTAGTGCTGGGGCATGTCCAATCTATGCTTGCTGCTGTTGCTTTTTGTTGTTTTTGTTTTTTGTTTGATCTTTGAGACAGGGTTTCTCTGTAGACCAGGTTGGCCTCTGCCTCCCAAGTCAGTGCTGGGATTAAATGCATGTGCCTCCACTGCCCAGCATGCTTGCTGCTGCTTAACTCTGGTCATATTTCTTTCCCAATTGTCTTTCCTTCACTTTTACTGGAGAAAATTATTCTTAAAGTACAAGGTGTTTTCCAGTCATTCTAAAGAGTGGGTATAATTGTTCTTTTTTCCATCCTTTTTTGAGACAAGGTTTTGCTGTGTAGCTCATGCTGCCTTGAAAATCTGTTGGGTTTAGTTTGTAGGCATGTGCTATGACTGATCCAAGAAAAAGTATCTTCATTTCTCTTCCCTATGCACAATATGAGATCTGTCAGTATAGATTTTATTGAAACATGATGTTGGATTCCCTGCCTGCCATGTAAAATGGCAGTAGTAGAACATAATGTAAAACAGAAAACTCAGTGGCCACACCTCACTACTCTTGTCATTTTTCAGGCAAAGAGTATGTGGGAATTGTCCGGCTGCACAATGCTATTGAAGGGGGTACTCAGCTTTCTAGGGTAAGTCTATATAACTTAGGGAGAAGGGTACCTTTGTTGATTTTGGTGTCTGAACTCCTAAATATCTGGAAACAGGGAAGTTTTCCTGGCTAGTAGATCTTGTGCCCTTTTAAGAGCCTCCTGGGTGGAGAACAACTGGTGATAGGGGTGACCATGTCTTTACTGAGGAGGAAGTCCTGATCAGTGCTGAGCCATTCTTCAGTTGAAAAAAAGGAAACCGAACTAAAGATTTAGCTCTTAAATTATTGAAAGAAAACTTTTGTATTTGAATTATGTCCTTAAATTCCTGAAATATGCCCCTTTGTTTTATTTAAAAATGAGCCCACATAATGAATAGGATTTCTTTTTGTTTTTTGCTTTGTTCTTAGGCTCTAGAAACTTTGACAGGTGCCCTGTTTCAGCGACCCCCACTTATTGCTGCAGTAAAGAGGCAGCTTCGAGTGAGGACTATCTACGAGAGCAAAATGATAGAATATGATCCTGAAAGAAGATTAGGTGGGTCATTAGGCCTATACCAGGCTTAATTGTTTAAGACCTAACTACAAGTAGGTAGGGTGCATTCTCAAGACTTCTGTTATGAATAGAAGCTTTGAGTATGTTGTGTACTCATACACTCATTCCCTGTATTTCTTAACTATAATCTTTTTGTTTGTTTTAGATAGGGCTTCTCCATTATGTAGCTCTGGTTGGCCATGAATTCACAGAGATCCACTTGTCTCTGTCTCCTGATAATAAAGTTGGGTACCACTATGTCCAGGATTTTCTCTAATCATAATGGTTCAGTTGGAGGGGGGAAATCATGCATTTACTCTAAAAAATAGGTGCTATTTGTGTTTGTGTGTGTGTTTGTCTTAGGAATCTTTTGGGTGAGCTGTGAAGCTGGAACTTACATTCGGACACTATGTGTACACCTTGGCTTGTTACTGGGGGTTGGTGGTCAGATGCAGGAACTTCGGAGGGTGCGTTCTGGAGTCATGAGTGAAAAGGTATGCAATTATGGGATTAGTTTTAGAACTGATTCTCTCCCCTTGGTAAAAGTCTGCTTTATATCTTTTAATGAAAGATTTCAAAGTGTTTAGTTCAGGTCAGGGCAGCTTCCCTGTTTTGTTAATTAAATTTGGCACATTGAATGACTGAATATACTTCCTAGTATATACCAATCTTGCTTAGAGCTTGAGTGTTAAGAGCAATTGGCAAACATTTGCACACAACCTGGGTTCCATCCCTAACAGTACCAAAAAATGGAGTGTCTACCTAGATCTAAGATGGTAACATGTACAAATACCCCAAAGGAGATTCCAAAGTCTCATAATGAGCCTGAACTAGAAGACAATGTGTAGTTACATTCAGGTGTAAAAAGTTTGGGGGTCTGATGGATTGTTATACAGTATGAAGACACAGAATTTATTATCTGACTGTTTTTCAGGACCATATGGTGACAATGCATGATATACTCGATGCTCAGTGGCTGTATGATAACCACAAGGATGAGACTTACTTGCGGCGTGTTGTTTACCCTTTGGAAAAGCTGCTGACATCCCATAAACGTCTGGTTATGAAAGATAGTGCAGTAAGTTATAGATTAAAAGTTCATGTTTGTAGAGAATGTTGCACCAAAGATGAAATGTTAATATTGTGAAGTCATAATTTATGTATTTTTATTTTCATTGTGGTTACTCCTCCCCCTTTAGTTTTATAGATTTCTCTTTGTGTCACTAGTAATGGGAACATTCATGGCTAGATTTGTTAAATTAGGTTAAACCCAGATATATAACTCTAAAGTAGAATTTCAACAATGTAAATTTATCATTGAAAGAGTCTTTGTCAAGCAATTTTGTTCAAGTACTAAACTATCAGTGATATCTAAAAAAATGCCTTCCTTTAATTTGTTGCTCTCTCTGTGCCTAAAATAATCTTGATTTATTTAAGTTGCTATAAAAGAATGTGTCAATAGGTAAAGGTTAAGACTAGAGAGTTTCAGAGATATGGTATGTACTCTGTAGGGATTTCAGTGAATTGGTGCTTCTGTTGAAGTACATTATCATTTGAGACAATATAATCCAAACTTCACTGAGCCGATCATCAGCTCTTAATTGTGTATTCTCTATATCACTTTATAATCAGAAACGGTCCTAATAATTTAAATAAATGTTATTTAGTCATAAGATTTTTTTTAAAAGACAGATTTCTGTGTATGTAACAGTTTGTGGTTAGATATTTATACACATTCAAATCTTAAATATATATAAGTCTTCTGAAAACTTATAGCATAGTTCATAATCAAGGGATAAATTGAAGAGGTAATATTAATGTGAGACACTAACAGGAACTGAAAAAGCTTAACCACATAAATGTGTAAATGTGCTATTCCTATTTCCCACTCTCAGGCTACTTCCTCCCTTATAGTCATCCTCTGTTCTGGTATGGAAGTGGAACAGGGATATTGGAAAATAATATCTGGACCACATGTGATACTGTCTCCATAGGTGAATGCAATATGCTATGGAGCCAAGATCATGCTTCCTGGTGTTCTCCGATATGAGGATGGCATTGAGGTCAACCAGGAGATTGTGGTCATTACCACCAAAGGGGAAGCTATCTGCATAGGTAAGGAGGGGGGTGCCTCTCATTTTTGGAGTTGGGGCTCTGTACCATTAAAGCTTATTGTGGGCCAATCCTGTGTCATGGTCCCTCAGTTTTATCTAATTAATGGTGTTTCCTGGGCTTTGTATAGGTAATTTATGAATAGACAGGTTAGTCAGGTACAGATTAAGAAGTGTTGCTCATTTATATGTTCTTGGCTCCTTTGTGAAACTCTTAAGAGTAAGAGTAGTCATGGTTGTCTGATGATTGAAAGGGAGATTTTAGTTCCTACTTGTAGTCCGTATCAGTGACTTTTTTGGTTTTTCAAGACAATGTTTCTCTGTATAGTCTTGGCTGTTCTGGAACTCACCCTGTGTACCAGCGTGGCCTCAAACTCATGGAAATCCACTTGTCTCTGCCTTCCAAGTGCTGGTATTAAAGGTTGTGTGCCACCATCGCCTGAATCAGTGGCTTTAATTTGTAAAGGCTTAGCTATTATTGGATTGATTATCTCTTAAAACTTACAGTGCTCTGTGGCCTTCTCAATAAGTCCAAGCTATTCATTTAATAATCCTAATTTGCGCCAGAAATAAGTCATGTCACTAGGATCCCTTGTCTTAGTTCTATGAATAGATGGGGGTGGGGTACCCGTGTAAAGTCCATTCTGATACCTAGCAGAAAACAGATTCTTAAAACTTTAAGTGTTCTATAGATCTGAGGTTAGTATATACTTCATTGCTGTACATGTCCAGAGGTACATGCCTTGTTACATGTTTTTTCAGTTGCTTTTGTTGAGTGGTTTTTAATTTGGTAAGTTTAATATTACTTCAAATGTTTCTTGCTGTTTTGGAGACTTTTTTCTATACATACATCCTGAGCAAAAGAAGCATCAGTTAAGATAATAGAGCTCAGGACTTATGAATTCTGAAAAGGCATAAAACAGTAGAACTCATTACCAAATCATTCTTTTTTCTCTTTCTAATGCCTACAGCTATTGCATTGATGACTACAGCAGTGATTTCTACCTGTGATCATGGTATAGTAGCCAAGATAAAGAGGGTGATCATGGAGAGAGACACTTATCCTCGCAAGTGGGGTTTAGGTCCAAAGGTAAGTGGGTGGTTAGCCTTTGCTGGGTTATATTTGTGTTACTCAAGCAGCACTTTGTGTGTCTCCATTGCCATAGCCTTTTATTATTTGGGGCTCTAGATAATTGGTGAGCAGATGCATGCCCTATCTTTGACTTTAGAGATTCTCCGTGTAGTTGAGTGAAACAGTTGGGCATTAATTACTTAAATCATCACTGTTGGGTGGTGAACTATGACTGTCAAATGTGAAGGAGGTCTCTTGGTTTCTGGAGTATCCACAGTGAAAGTTTTTTCTTGTTTTTTCTGGATAGGGTTTCTCTGTGTAGCTTTCCTGGAACCTGTTTTGTAGTCCATGCTGACCTTGAACTCGGAGATCCACTTGCCTCTGTCTCCGAGTGCTGGGATTAAAGCTACACAGATCTAGGGAAGGTCTTTTCACTCAAGCCATTGTAAAGTTAGATATTGTGAATATACTGGCTACTTCCTGTATTGATAATAATCTAATGTTTGAAATGCTCTAGGCAAGTCAGAAGAAGATGATGATCAAGCAGGGCCTTTTGGACAAGCATGGTAAACCCACAGACAACACCCCTGCCACCTGGAAACAGGACTACATTGACTACAGGTAAGGATAGTGCCTGGGACTGGGGTGATACTTACCATTTGGTCTTTGATAATAAGTGAGACAGGAGACCAGATAGCCAAAGGGAGTTGGAAGCTTTTATTTGGGTCAGGTGCTAAATTCTAGGCCACAGGTCCCAACACTGCAGCTCAGCTTTCTTTTCATTCTTTGGCTCCATGAAGCCTAGGTAACTACTACTATACAGGCTTGAGCCTACCTACTAGTCAGGGCATGGACTATGGAGAAAATCACTTTAGGGTTGCCCAGTATCATTGAATAACATGGCACGTGACATGACAGAGCCACCACGGAAAGCTCTTCCATGAATTTAACTTCATATTACCTCTTTGTCTTTCAGTGATTCTGACAAGAAAGCACTGGTTGCTGAAGCAGTACAAACCCCTCAGTTAACTGCTGATGCAGTAAAAGTCATAAAAGTAAGTGGTACGACCTGTTTGAAATGTGCTTTAAGCCAGGCTAGTCTGGTCTACAGAGCTACATAGAGGAACTCTGCCTTGAAAACTAATAAAAAAAAAAAATGTCTTACCTACCAAGGCAGGCTTTGTCCATGCTGTAGTCCACACCAAATATTGCTTAATACTTGAGGTTGTGTTATGTCTGCTGTAGGGGGAGTGTGGGCTTAATCAGGCCTAGGCTCCTACCTCTGCTGTGGCAATAACCTTGTATGGAATGTGTGTGATACATTTTGCCTTTACCCTGGGTTTAATGATATATAGCATAAATGTACTGAAGTCAGTGGCCCTTAGTAAACTCAGCAAGGGGGCATAATTGTCAGATACCAGCAAAGATCTTCAGTCAATACTAGCATACTCTTTAAAGGAAGAGTGAAGAATATGTTGGTAACTTAGCTTCCCAAGGTTGGGGGCCACTGTCATTATAATCCCAAATGGTATGTCTGCAGTTAGAAACCTGGATGACTAGTAATAAGCTATGTGGGTTGAACTGGTGATTTGTGCCTGTTTGAGCACCTAAGAGAGCAAGGAGTTAGTTTACTGAGAAAGCTTTTTTGAGGTCTTCTATACCCCAAACTGCTATGGCACACCCATTATGTCCCATGGCTTACTCTGTGTACTATTATTTAGTGAGATACTGTCTTCAAATCTTTAATAAGTCAGGCACTATTCAATTTATAGACACAAAATTTACTGCTGGGTTTACTTGGAATCTTTCTTGGTAACTTCCAACATTTCTAACTGGATGAATTATTTTTATATCTCAGAGGAAGCGGGAGAGTGAAAGTGATGAGACCTCTCCAGTAGTTCCCCAGTTGATGAAGAAGGAAAAGAAGAATAAGAAGGATAAGAAGCCTAAAACTGTGCTAGAAAGTGGGGGCGAAGCTGGACATGGGGTATGTGTTCCCCATGGGTACCTTTGTGCTGGCTGAGTCTTTGACAGGGATTGTGGTGCAGGAATGGGGTTCCACCATTTACTCTTTCGGGCTGCCCTGTATTTTGGATTTTCCCTATCTGTCCACACACCCCCACCCCTCTGTGGACAGACAAGTAGGAGCACCCAGCATTTTAGAGCAATGGATCTTGATTTGAATTATGTTGCTGGTTGGTGGGGAAGAGTGTATCTTGGTTGCTCAATGCCCTTGTGAAAGTAGACCTCTAGGACTTTACTGAGAAGTTCACAGGCAAAATTTGTTTAATCCTAAATGTCCTTACAGATCCTGAACAGACTTGACTGCAATTTACAAGGTTTCTTTTGAGAAGAGTCATAAATGTTTTGGCAATCGGTACTTATTTTTTTCTTTCTTTAGGACAGTGATACCAGTAAAAAGAAAAAGAAGAAGAAAGTAAAAGTGGTGGAAGATATGTCTGAATAGTAAAAGCAACTTGAAGCATTATGTCAAGCTGGGAGAAGAAACGAAAGCCTTATTGAGAAAACATTTTGTTGAGAGAGTAGAACAGAGGTCCCAAACAGAATATAGAATTCTGATACACTTTAGCTGCCACTTGTGATCTCAGTGGTTAGGGTGTGGCCATCTTGTCCTGTCCTGTTTTAAGGATATGAGAGATGAAAAGCAGATTTTTGTCTCTGATTCCTCTGCTTGAGTGGGGGAACACACCTTCAGACATGAAACTGCCTAGTAACTGTCTGCAGCTGTTTATTAGTGGCCATTTTAAACAATGCCATAGATAGTCCTCTCCTAGTTTGCTTTTTTTAATGTTTGTAAAAATTAAATCTGCTGAATAAAATAGTACAGGACCTTCTGTGAGTAAAGGAAGAATGTAATTAAACCATGTTCACTGGGGAATTCTTATCTGCAGTATCCTTTGAGGGCTGTTCTATTCTGGTATCAGATATGTGTCTTGCTGGTCTTGTAGTGTCCATGATGTTTGGGCTAGCACTCTGTGCGGTGTTGTGTTTGTGCGCGCGTGTGGTGGGGGGAAGCCAAAGCATTCCCATACCTTCCTGTTTTAATGTTCATTTTCTTTTGAAGAACGAATTTGTTCATTGCTGGGAAAAGAATGTGATTTATAGCTTTTTAAAAGTATTTCTGTTGGGTTTACTAACTGATAATAATCTTAGGCTGGCAGAACAAAAATGAAAATATTTTTATTAAAAATGGGAATCTCTGTCCTATTTGAAATTTGCTTTTCCTTTGGCAATTTTGTGTCTTACATTGGCATTGGGGCCTACCACGTGCAGTTAGCTGCTCTCAAGGGGGATTAATACAAACAAATACAAACCCAGTGTTCTCCAAAGTAGATGTGTTATGTAGTGTGTCAGTGAGGCTAAAGGTATAACTGTTTTGCTGGTAGGAAACTGCCAGTTCTGGTGTGGACTGCGGGGTAAGCAGGGAGAAAGGGTGAAGTGGTGTGTTACAAATGATTGCTTAAATGTGTTCAAAGCCAAGAATACCAACAGAAGTTTTAAACATTTGTGGCACCTGAGCCTAAGCAGGTATGAAGTGCCCGTCTCACCCTTAGCCCTCAGCTCCTGTTTCTGTAAGATCTATTTTCATTCTAGTATGACTTAATAGGAAGCTTAAAAGTGCTCACAATGGCTTCTACTAGAGAAGACAATTTATGCTCTGTAACCACCAGCCTTTTAGGGACCTCTATGTTAATTCCAGAAAAGCATCTTGCCTTGTAGGTTTAAGAAGATAAAGCCTGGCTTTTTAGGGGATTGCGGTGTAGACATTGAAATGTAGTTACAAGGTCACTAGCATCTTAACACAGCAGAGTTTTTATTGCTTTGGAGGGTTTCTCTAGAGCAGCTGTTAGATTTTTTGCATTTTAGAAAGTTTCAGAGTATACTTAATCCAGAGTAAAAAGATAAGATAGTATAGTTGCAAGTAAAGGAGCTCAGGCATCAGATGAGGACGGATGCTTTCTTTGTGCAGCAGTTGCATTGGATAGTACTCAACTGCCAATTTCCAGAGATCATTTTGAAATCTAGGTAGTAGGAAAATTAAACTTCAGCCCTTTAGTAGCCTGAGTGAAAAGACTTAAATCCTACTGATATACTTCGCATAGTTGCAGATAGCTAGAAGATGAAGCAGCAGTGTTTGATTTAAGCGAGGGGTGGCATTCCAAATGCTGGGGAGGGGCTGGAACAGGTTCTCCAATTCTGTAAGCTTAGTAAACCCAGGAGACAGGTACCCACTGTGGAGAACTGCAAGCCTGGTCAAAGGCTTCTTGCAATTTCTTAAGAGTTTCATCAACACCATTATTCACCAAAGAGAGGTCAAAGTAGTGAGAATATTGACTACGGATGGCCTCAGAGTCCTTCTGCAGCTGCTGCAGGGCTTCAGTCTGCAAAGAAGAGAGCCATAGCTGAAGCAGCAGCCCCAATTCATAGCAGTCAAGGGAAGGTTTGATCAGGTACTGGTTATATCAACTGGTTCCCTATCTACTATTATTTTCCCTTTTTTGGGTTTTTTTGTTTTGTTTTTCAAGACATGGTTTCTCTGTGTAACAGTCCTTGCTATCCTGGAACTTGCTCTGTAGATCAGGCCAAGATCCACCTGCCTCTGCCTCCCAAGCTGGGATTAAAGGCATGTACCACCACCACCTGGCTAAAACAGTTCTTTATGTTGTGACCTCTAAACATGAAAATATTTTCATTGATTACAGTGTTTGCCAAAGTTGTTGTAGTCCACAGGTTGAGAACCACTGTACTAAAGGATCCCAAATTAATCCTAATTATAAATAGAGCCCTCTGAAAGGCCAGTAGGAACCTAGTATAGGCTTCATTAGCACCATCCACTTAAGCCTCATCCCTTTGTACATAGAAAAGCCATTTTAACAACTACTATGAGTTGTAATCCTAGGATAAGAACAAAGATTATTGACAATAGGCTTCTTGATCCCATGGTTAGGGTTAGTAAAAATGTATAGAGAAATACATGCCATGGTGGTGGTGGTGGGGATACTTTTAACATTATTGGAGTAAAATACCCAAGTACAGAATTAGAAATGAATGATAAGATAAAACCACTAACTCAATGGAAACAAGAACTAAGGACAGCCAGAAAATTCATACACAACACAAATAAACATCTATTTTGTTTGTGTGACAGTCTCAATATATATGTTCTTACTTTGAACTCTAGCCCAGGCTGGCCTCAAATCTTACGTAGTCCAGACTGGCCTTGAGCTTGCTATATAACTTAATTATGGCACTGGACTCTTGATCCTCCTTTTATCCCTCCTCAAGTGCTGGAATTATGACTCTCACTAGTAAGAAAATAATCTCTTACAGTAAAGCAAAGTGAAATATCACACATAAAATATAGGCAAAAATTTTAAAATGCGATGAATGACATGCTATAGAGGAAAGGAAACAGCCACTCTTATAGGCAGGCGCCTTTCCCTTTGTAGCCTTACATGTAGCCATGGTGGTTCTGGTGCCACCTCTGTCCTTCACAGCTCCCTCTGCTCTGTGATGAGTCATATCAGATTCAGGATGTACTCAACTGTCCATCTTAGTTATAACAACATCTGTATTATCTAGAACAATGACTGGGTGTGACTTGTTTAATTACTATCTCTTGAATGAAGTATGCATGCCCTTTTGTCTTGACCCTGGAGGAAACAGCTGACCGTGATCTATTAGGAGAGAACCTCCACCCACCTTGCATGACCCCTTTCCCACCTGAGTGCCCTGATCAGTAGGTTCGATGAACACAATGAAAGGTGAAAGCTCAGCGGTCCGAACAATCTTCAGGGTCTAGGAAATGAAGGAAAAGAAACAACAAACCCAGCTGTCTGTCAAAGTGTATTCCTTCTAATAAAGCATCCCCAATACCACTTAGCATTGTTCCCAGTTACTACTGTTCTTGCATCAGGCTGGCTCTACTAAAAATTTAGGAAGCAAACCTGAACTTCTAAGTTTCCAGGAGCTCTACTTTTCATCACCCCTCCCCCCATTATATGGGTGAACCCATTGTTCTTGCCTTTGTGTGCCTACCCACCTGGGGCTCAATGTCAAGGATGGCAATCTTGTCCTGCTTATGAATCTGGTGCACTGTTTCGAATTTAGTGCCAAACATGTTGCCCTGATAGCTGCCAAACTCCAAGAACTCATTGGCAGAGATGTTCCTTGTCATTTCCTCTGTTGAGATGAAGTGATATTCCTTTCCATCTTCTTCATTCTTCCTTGGTGGCCGTGTTGTATCTGTGTACAAGGACTCTCTTGATCCTCGCCATCTCTTAATGGCTTGGCCCAAAGTGTCTGTATGGAAACCCTACCCATGTTTGGGGCAGATAATATAATAGAGATGTTCTTCCCATGAACTGAAGGGCTGATGTTAGGAAGTAGTACAGACCAGAAAATCCTTCCACCCAGAATATATTTAAAATTCAAGAGACAGCCCCATGCAGAATATTCACATCATTCTTCCCACATAAAGTCAACAAACCCAGGAATACTGAAACTTAGAAATGACAGCTAAAAGTTAATATAAATCTACAGGCAGTGGTAGAGAATTTTTGGAAATCTGTTTCTTTGGAAAAATTGTAGGTGTGCACATGTATGTTATGCCCATGGAGGCCAGAAGAAGGCATATGGTGAACTATGCCTGGGCAGGGCGAAGCCAGAGGAAACTCTGGTGGAGGTCTGTGTAGCGGTCCTGATGTGCAAATCGGTCATCCGACCCTCGGTATAGGGATGAAAGACTAATCGAACCATCTAGTAGCTGGTTCCCTCTGAGTTTCCCTCAGAATAGCTGGCGCTCTCGCAGAACACAGTTTTATCCGGTAACGTGAATGATTAGAGGTCTTGTGGCCGAAATGATCCCAACCTATTCTCATTATTCAATTTTAAATGGGTAATCTGGCGTGGAGCCAGGCGCGTGAAATGCGAGTGCCTAGTGGGCCAGACGCTGGAATGCGAGTGCCTAGTGGGCCACTTTTGGTAAGCAGAATTGGCGCTGCGGGATGAACTGAATGCCTTAAATCTGTTACCTTAGATCTGGAGGTACAGGTGGTTGTAAAATGCCTAATGTTGGGTTCTGGAAAGCACTCAATCACAGAGCTATCTCTCCAGCCCTGTTTCTTTTTTATGATATGGAAAGAAGAACACATTGGTTTGATTTAAACATTTTGTTAAAATGTTAGGGCTGGCAATTTCTCAGTAGGTAAAAGCATTTGCCACAGAAAGCTTATGACCTGAGTTCAACTCCTAGACCCACATATGGTGGAAGGAAAGAACAGATAAATTAGGTAGACAGTAGAGGGCACTGAGAAATCATTTATAAAGTAATACATGTAAAATTTAGTTCTTGCTTAGTATTTTTTCTTTTTGGTTTTTCAAGAGAGGTTTCTCTGTGTACCTCTGGCTGTCATGAAACTCATGTCCTAGACCAGGGTGGCCTTGAATTTAGAGATATACCTGCATCTGCCTCCCCAGTGCTGAGATTTAAGGCACATGCTACTATGCATGGAGGGGCAGGCAGTCTGTATATGGCGGTTCTGTTGAACTTGTCCATATTAGGTTTCATGGTCTAAGTTGAAAAGGACGACTGACCAGGTCTCTTCCTCAAGAGGGCACTAGAACACATTACAGATGGTTGTGAGCCACCATGTGGTTGCTGGGAATTGAATCAGGACCTTTGGAAGAGGAGGCAGGGCTCTTAACCGCTGAGCCATCTCTCCAGCCCCCCATTCACAGTCTTAATTTTGTGCCATGGGACAATGGTCTGTACCCTGTCACTTGTGTTTTAAATAAATACTGATTGGCCAGTAGCCAGGAAGGAAGTATAGGCGGGGTGACCAGGCAGGAAGTAGAGGCGGGGCAACAAGAATTCTGGGAAGAGGAAAGCTCAATCTACAGTCATAAGCCAGACACACAGCAAGCAAGATGTGACTGCCTTGCCAAAAAAGGTACCAAGCCACATTGCTAACATAGACAAGAATTATGGGCTAATAGAAGTTAAGAGTTAATACGAAGCCCGAGCTAATAGGTCAATCAGTTTATAATTAATGTAGGCCTCTGTGTGTTTATTTGGGACTAAACGGATGTGGAACCTGGTGGGACAGAAACCTCTGTCAATTTTTTTTCCAGTCAGGGTTTCTCTGTGTAACTTTGGAACTTGTCTTTCAAGTTGCTCTGTAGACCAGGCTGGCTTTGAGTGAACTCACAGAGATCCGCCTGCCTCTGCTTCCTGAGAGTTAGAATTAAAGGTGGAATTAAAAAATGTTGTTTACTACAGGTACTGTTATATGGAATAAAAGAAGAAAAGTTATTTTGTTATTTCAAGCAATTATAAGTACACATTGGTGTGTGTGTGTGTGTGAGAGAGAGAGAGACAGAGAGAGAGAGAAGAGAGAGAGAAGAGAGAGAGAGAGAGAGAGAGAGAGAGAGAGAGAGAGAGGGAGGGAGAGAGGTGCATATGAAAGTTAGAGGACAACCTGTGGGAGCCAGTTCTCTCCTACCATGTGGGATCTAGGGATCTAATTCATGTTCCAGTTCTCTCCTACCATGTGGGATCTAGGGATTTAATTCATGTTGTTAGGGTTAGCAGGTGAGAAATACTTACATGGGACAGGGTATACAAACTTCTCTGGATTCTGGCTGAGCAGAGCATTCTTAATATGGCTGCGACCTACCCCACTGGCTCCTGTGTGAGGATAAAGAAAACTTTCCATTACTTTCATCCAAAAACATTTGTGGAAACAATACAGGGAGTGGGAGATGGATTTCTATATCCCAGTGCTCAAAGTGGCTACAAGATGAAAATAGTTTGATGTTGCAACAGTCCTTACAGCCATCAAGATTTGAGGCCACCTTATAGCTTCAATTCCTTTGTATCCATTTGCAGGAGGAGAAGTCTTTCTAAGGCCCAAAAGTTAAGATGTAGAACATAATTACTATTTCCACAGAGGAACCAGCTACTGTGTAGTTTTCTGTTTATTTTGTAAGCCAACCAAATAGGTGGACAAATATAGCAAACCTAATCTAAAAGAATTAGATGCTAAGTAGAAAAACTTGTAATGAGAATTGGATCCAAATAGATTACTTGTAAGATCCAGAAACTTCTTTATAACTATAATACATGAAGTATCCAAAAGACCACACTTCATTTTTCCTCACTACCTTTCTTGAAGAAGGGTGGACACATAATGCAGGAATGGAAATAAGGACAGAATTGTGCTCTTGAATTAGCAAAGCTGTGAAAAGATACCGATCAGCACCAGGGTCTTCCTCTTGAATGCAGGGAGTCGGACAACTTCCTCATAGGAAACAACATCCAACTGGTCAAAAACTAGAGACAAAGAAAATCAAATCATATTAATTTTCAGAGGTGGAGTGATAAAGCACTGGCCGGGGTTACGGAGCTGACATCTGATCCAGCAAGGAGATATAGTTGAGCATGGTGGTGCAGGACTGCAATCCTATCACTGAGGCCTTGGCTCCAAAAAAGAAAACAAAATAAAGGAAGAGAGATCATGGGCATGAAATTAGGGGTGTTTGCTGGGAGGGATGTTGGATATTTCTATGTGATAAGGAAGTATGATACATAATAAAACAAAGCAGAAAGTGGACAGACTACTAGCCTTCCAGAATAGGCACTGGCATTGTCTTTGTGACTGCAGTGAGTTTGTGAAGATGAAATGTGTAAGGGAAAGCCAAAAGAAATGGAATATTTTCTATATACTAAACATTCCATTGCATACTGCATCCTCACCTTTTTCCTTCTGGTTAATGAGGTGGAGAAACACTCATGCTACTGGGACCTTGGTGGAAGGAGACACAGAAAACTTACTTGAACTGTGCTTAGCCAGATACTTGTCTTTATACTTCTTCTTCTTCCCAAAGGGACTGCAGCTTGGAGCTTCATTTGGAGCAGACTGAGCCACACTTGCCACTCTCCTGTGAGAAACAGATGACCAAAGCTCAGTAGGTCCTCAGTATAAAAGTATGTGACAAATTAGAATACCTACTTTCTTTTCTGTAGTTAAGTTTTGAGACTGACCTACTTCTTTGACTCTGTAAAGTTTTTCAGGCAGAGATGGCCTCACCCACTTCCCTTCCTTTCTTCTCCGTAGTTTTATGTGGTCACACAGGTACTTGGCAGTGGAAATGCTTCCAGGAAAAAAAATAATTCCTCCCACCTTTAGTGCAACCTATTCTTCCACCTTTGAATTGAGAGCTGGAAAATCAGGCTGACACTCACATCACCATAAGAAATATACAACAACCCTAATCTATAAATAAAGCACAGGTATGCATATGTAACCACATACATGGCTAAAGCAATAACTTTAGTAAGAATACCACCTATCACTGTAATTTATGCATTATCTTTTGTTTTGAGACAGGATCTATGTAGCCCAAGTGGCACTGAACCTGCCTCAGCCTTGAGCATTCTGAATTACAGGCCTGAGCTATGATATCTGATCCTCACTTTAAAAAAAAAAATACCTGTTACAGCCTACTAACTTGATTCATGCCTCATTAATAAGTCATGAGTCACAGCTTCACCTTGTGTTCTCCTGGGTCTTTCTCAGTTATCTGCCTTTCCTGATCTTCCAATGCTCATTACCAGGTGTTGCTCTGAAAATGGCCCAGAAGACACAGACAGCATACTCAAGGCTTTGACTAATATCTTCAAGGTCTGCACTGTATTTCCTCTGCTGCTGTAACATTAAAATTTATTTCTATAAAACACATCCTGTGTTTTGGTGCTATTTATCATCACTGGAAATGGGATCAATAGAACTCTGCCTTAAAACTAAATGTCTATATTATGTTTGTAGAGTTGACCCTTTTGGTATTGGATAGATAAGTGGATAGGTTGCATTCATGTATTTAGGAATGTGTGTGTGTGTGTGTGTGTGTGTGTGTACAACATCAACAGTTAGTGAAAAAAGAGGCCATGAACTTCAAAGAGTATAAAGAGGGATATATAAGAGGTATGGAAGGACGAAAGGAAAGGGAGAAATTATGTAATTATAGTATCTCAAAAAAAAGAAAGAAATAATTAGGTCTGAACTAATAATCTTTGAGGTTGTAATGTTATTTTCCACAGGCAGAAGGTCAACAGTGGATATGGATTTTTCTACCACTCTAATGTGTGGGGCAGCCTTGCACTAAGTGAGCAATCTGACTGGAGGACAAGAATCTGTATAAGGGACACATACTTAAAATGTGCTGATTTTAGAAGTTTTCTTAAAAACAGTACTGAGTGGTTGAAGGCATGCAGGAAGCAGGGGGAGGGTTCTATAACTGGCTCCTTTGCCTGCAATAAATGGCCATAAAATGAACCATATCAACTCCTGTGAACCATTCCTTATCCATTACATAGAGGACTAGGACATATGTTTAGGAAAAATGAAAAATATACACAAAACAGATTTCTAAAGCTAAGCAATTAGCTACAGCAGGGGCTTTCCACCAGCACAAATGTAGCTCACCATTCCTGCAGCTCAGGAGAAGGGATCAATCCTGCAGACTCCTTGGAAGAGCCTTCCACCCGCCCCTGCCACCAGTTGCTGTCATCTTTGTTGATAATTTGGATAATGTCTCCAGTAACAAACTTCAGTCCTGCCTCCTTACAAGGGATAAGATTGTCCTTTTTGGGGTCATAGTCGAACTGTGCTCTCATGAACATCTGTAAAAGAATGCGAAGAGGATCTCAGGAAAAACACCAGCGGCTAGAGAGCATATACATAACAAGTCCCACTGTAAGGAAATGGGAAATGAGCAGGCAAGAAAAAAAAGAGGGATAATTGGATTATGGGATAATAGTTTTGTACTTGTGAGTTATTGTTTTTAGACAAATATATTGGTATTGATTCTTATATATTGATACAAAGTTAAATTATGTTGACTATTTTATGCATGCATGCTTCTACCTCTGTTTAAAACATTTTTATGTATTGACATATATATATTGTATTGATATATGTATATTTTACCATATTGCATTGTACACTTCTACCTCTGATTAAGATACTTATATATTGCTTATGTATTGATATATATATATTTACCATATTGCAATGTATACTTGCACATTGTTTATATTTGGAGGTCATATTGTCCCCATTTATTGAGCAGTTGTTTACTATCTCAGTCTTTAAGTTAGATACATATTGAAAATTATATAGATCAATAGTCATCTAAGTTTGTCATTTATAATTAGACTAATCAGGTTCTTTAGATACATAGAGATTATATTCAGTATAGATAGATAATCTTCAATCTCTTCAAAGAGCTATAGAAAATGGCCTTTAATCTAATTCAGAGTTCTGTGGTAGGGAGACACAATCGCTTCTGACAACACCCATCTATTCCCGAGAGAATGTTGAGCACCAAAGACACTCCACCTGGAGCCTTTCTTCTTGACAGAACTGGCCTTTGGGTAAAGAAATGCCCATACCTCAACTACTGACAGAGTTACAGAGTATCCGTAAATGGATAAAACAGGACTGTCATATCCTGCCAAGACAGGGTAAGATAGTTTTAAAAAGTTCCTTGCCTTTGAAAATGGTATGTCAGTTACGTTAGGCCTTAGCCAAAGTTGGTTGCTTCAATGCTGCAAACATGACTTTGGATGTTTGCCCAGGTAGCCAGTTGTCTCTGTGATTTGTTACATGTTCTGGAAGTTTGATTGCACTTCCTAATTACTCAGGTAACATTATTTCCCTTCTCAGATCTTTGATGGGATTGAAGATTATATAAATGTAGTTACTTTCCTTTCATGACTTGGCCAAGTTATTTATTATACAAGACTTTAGCTAGTTAGAATAGGATATTTTTACTTATTGTATATAATTATGTAGGTTTGTACTTACTATATATAATTTCATAGTAGACTTAGAACTCTCTTACTTAAACAAAAGGGGGAGGTGCTGCGGGAGTATCTTCCGCTGCCTCAGCCAATAGTCGCTGAAGCACGAGCCCACAGTGCGGCGGGGGGCGCCTTCTGCTCCGTCAGCCAATAGCCGCTGAAATACCAGCCCACTGGGGCGTGGTATATTTCTCTTTTAAAAAGAGACACAGATCCTAGATCAGGCCCTCTTGGTTCCGGTGCTTGGTCCCGGCTCCTGCTCCAGCGACTAGGCTCCCTTCCTGATGGTTTATGGTGTATATAAGTTTTACCCCCCAAAATAAATAACCCCTTAGAACATAACTGGTATGGGATTGATTCGCCGATAAAGAACGGTAACAGAGACTCAAACATGTGCAGCTTGGATGTTCCTAACTACTTACTGTTGTGTTTGGAAAAGAACCAAAACTGATTCTTTTAATAAGAAGGTATCTTCCATGAAATGTCTTTCTGGGTCAATATGTTTCCAGATATTGAATCTCAGTTGTCCATCTCAGAGTACAGATCTGCTACCATCCATCTGAAATGGATCTGTTTTCTTGACAATATACTCTCATGAATATGGTAAAGTTGATAAACCCTTCTCTAGAGGACAGTCTAGCAATATAAATGTGTTTATCATCTTCAAACGTTGATATTTTTGCCCTACCTTGATTATTATGCATTTATCTTACACAAAAAAGAGCTGCTAGAAAGGAGGGAGAACATGAGCAAGGAAGTCAGGATCACGAGGGATGCGTCCACCCACAGAGATGGTGGGACTGATCTAATGGGAGCTCACCAAGGCCAGCTGGACTGGGACTGATGGAGCATGTGATCAAACTGGACTCTCTGGATGTGGCTGTCAATGAGGGCTGACTGAGAAGCCAAGGACAATGGCACTGGGTTCTGATTCTACTGCATGGACTGACTTTGTGGGAGCCTAGTCTGTTTGAAAGCTCACCTTCCTAGACCTGGATGGAGGGGGGAGGAACTTGGACTTCCCACAGGGCAGGGAACCCTGACTGCTCTTAGGGCTGGAGAGGGAGGGGGATGGAGAGTGGGGGGAGGGGGAGGGAAATGGGAGGAGGGGAGGAGGTGGAAATTTTTAATAAATAAAAAAAAGCTGCTAGTAATGATTATGGAGATAAGCATATGTATCACAGCATTATTTCTAAGAGTGAAGTATTGGAAACAATTTAATTTCCTAAGACATACTTATTTATTCATGATAAATAGTTAAGTATCTGCTGATTATATTACCAGTATATTATACATTTTGTAACACAAAAACTCAACTTGTAGAATATCTAATGTCCTTGGCAATCCTACTGACTATATGAAATAAGAACATTATTAAACAAAATAACACCCAGAATGGTCAAAATTTTAAAAAAAAGTCATAGAAAAAGTGACCAGAAGAACTTATGTTAGAATTTAATACTGATTTTCTTGGTTAGTTTTTTAATCAAATTGACACAACCTAGAGTAATCTGGGAAGAGGGAGCCTCAATTGAAGAATAGCTTCAGAGTGGCTTGTGGCCATGTCTGTTACAAACTGCCTTGACTGATGACTTGATATGGGAGGAGCCAGACCATAATGGGAAGCATCATCCCAGCATCATCATATGGGCGAGAGGGCTAGTGTAAGAAAGCTAGGAGAGCGCAATCAAGAGAGCAAGCTAGTAAATGGCATTCTTCCGTGTTCCAGCCTCAGATTCCTGCTTTGAGTTTCAACCCTAGCTTCCCTCAAGGTTACATTGTGACCTGGAAATGTAAGCCTTTCCTCCCAAGTTGCTTTAAGTCAGAATGTTCTGTTATAGCAACTGAAAGCAAACCTGGACAATGGTTATCTGTGGTAATAACATTAAGGAGCATAAATAAAGCTCAAACAAATAAGGAAAGAAATAATGAACAGAAAGAATTTAAATAGAAAACACCATTAAGAAAACCTGAAACGGTCAACTTGATGGAGGAGGGTTATCTGTCTATTGTGTTATTTTCATTGGTCAATAAAGAAACTGCCTTGGCCCTTTGATAGGACAGAAAATTAGGTAGGCGGAGTAAACAGAACAGAATGCTGGGAAGAGGGCTATGAGGCAGACGCCATGGAGCCAGCCACCAAGTCAGACACGCTGAATCTTTTCCGGTAAGCCACCACCTCGTGGTGCAACAGATTATTAGAAATGGGTTAATATCAAGATATGAGAGTTAGTCAGTAACTAACTCTCTAGAGATAATGGGCCAGGCAGTGCTTAAATGAATACAATTTGTGTGTTGTTATTTCTGGGACTAAGCTAGCCGTGCGGGAGCTGGGTGAGGCGAAAAGCAGGCCTGCCCGCAGCCCCTCACTACAGGTCAACTGGCTCTTTGAAAAGATTAATGAAATTAAGAACAGGAAGGTTTTCTTCAGGTTCACCTTCTTATTTAGCTTCTCTAGACAAGAGTCCCAGGTAACCTCGGGTGCAAGGGGGGTGGGGGGGGTCGCCGGGTTGTTGGAAGGGGAGAGGGTTAGAGAGAAGGGAGTAGGGGAGGAATGGGGAAAACTCGGGGGACTGAGATGGGGGGAGGGAGGAAGGATGGATATGGGATCAGGGAAGAATGTATCTCAACTAAGGGAGTCATTTTAGGGTTTGCAAGAGACTTGATTATAAATGGGATCCCAGGTCCAAGGAGAGATCCCCAGATTGTTCTCTGGACAGAGGAGAGGGTGCCTGAACCGGCCTTGGCTTATAACCACACTGATGAAGATTTTGCTTATCACCATAGATCCTTCATCCGACGATGGATGGCGATACAGACGGAAACCCACATTGGAGCACCGGACTGAGCCCCCCATGGTCCAGCTGAGGAGCAGAAGGAGGAAGAACATGAAGAAAAAACTCAGGACCGTGAGGGGTGCGATCACCCACTGATACAAGGGGACTGGTCTGATGAGAGTTCGCCAAGGCCAGTTGGACTGGGACTGAACGAGCATGTGATCCAACCAGATTTTCTGAATGTGGCCGGATTCTCTGAATGTGGCTGGCCCGGAGCCTCTCTGAAAAGCCATTGACAATGACACTGGGACTAGTTTCCTCTGCATATACTGGATTTTTGGGATCCAGTCTGTTTGGATTCTCACCTTCCTGGACCTGGAGGGAGGGGGGAGGAACTTGGACTTCCCACGGGGCTGGAAGCCCTGACTGCTCTTAGGGATGGAGAGGGAGGAGGAGGGGGAGGGGGGGAGTGGGAGGGTGTTGGGAGGAGGGGCGGAAATGGAAACTTTCATAATTTAATAAACAAAAAAAAATTAAAAAAAAGAACAGGAAGGTTACAACTTACTAGTAAAAAAGCCACATATAATGGCTCACTCCTTTAATTCTAGCAGGTCGGCTCTGTGAGTTCAAGGCCAGCCTAGTCTACATAGTGAGTTCCAGGACAGCCAGAGCTACATTGTAAGACTCAGTTTCCAAAAACCAAACAAAAGACAATTTACTAGTAAAGATCTTAAAGATACTTAAAAGGTTTTAATAGGATATTGTGATAATTAAGCATGACTGTAACCCCAACAGATGGTGGCACATAGGTTAATCTCAGAAACTTGCTGGCCATTCAGCCTAACTGAAATTGTGAGAGATCCTGTCTCAAGGGAATAAGCCATTGAGCGGCAAAGAAGAAAATCCAACGTCCTCCACTGTCTCTGAGAGTACACACAACTCCACACACATGTGTAAATGTATACACACACTCAAAATGTAATCTTATGAACAATTTTACATCAATACATTTGATAAGATCCTATGCTGAACAAATAGGTTATTCTTACCAAAATACAAATAGCAGGGAATTCTAAGCCTCCAAACTCATAACCATAATACCCAAATCTAACAAGAATCTTCTAGTCTCTCTGAGGATCAGGAATATAAAAATCCAAAATGAAATAGTACATCAAACACAGCAATTTATTATAAGGATATGAAGTCACAATCAAACAGGATCTCGTTCAGCAACAGTTTGTGACATTAACATAAAATAGAGAAAAATCACATGATCTTGTCACTAGTAACATACAAAACAAACAAACAAACAAACAAAAAACAGAGGGTAGCTCCTTGAATCTAATGAATACCTTCAAAAACCTTATAGATCGGGGCTGGAGGGATGGTTAAGATGCAAGTACTGCTCTTCCAGAGGACCTGAGTGTGACTCCCAGTACCCATATTAGGTGGCTCACAACCAGCTCCAGGGAAATCTTGATACTTCTGGCCTCTGTAAGCCCCTGCACTCATATGCACACACACACACACACACACACACAGACACACACACAGACACATAATTAAAATAATAAAAATAAACTAAAAAACCTACTTTACTTTTAGTTTTTAAAAAACTAAAAAGCCAACATACTTTCCAATGAAATACTAAAAGATTTCTCTTCTATACTGAGAAATAAAGAAGGATTACACCATCACCACTTCTACTGGGATTTTATAAAGATGTCTCCTTTCTCCAAAATGATATGGAGCTTTAATGCAGGGATAAATACATAGACCAACTACACAAAATACGCCTACATATATGACTTACAATAAAAGTGATGGGGAATATATCATATGAACAGGATGTTTACTTCAATTAATAGTATTGAGTCTACTGATATCCATATAGAAAAATTGAAACCTTGACCTCTTACTTTACAATATTCTACACAAAAATCAATTTAATTCTACATGGGTTTAGAAAACAATATAGAAGAGTGTCCTTTTTACCTTGTAATCAAAAAGAAAATTAAACAAACATAAAGTGCTAATTATATGCGGGAAAAAGGTAGCAATTTTGATTTCATTAAGAATCTTCTTTAGTCATTAATGGTACCATGAAGAAAATTAAAAAGGAGCATATTTGAGATACATATGACAAAGGACTCTGCTTCAGAAAATATGAGGTACTCCTACAATTTGGTAAGAAAAAAATTCAAGCTTTACCAAACAAATATATTTAAATAGAAAAAAAAACATATAAACAGTAAAGGAAGCATTTACCTATTATCAGAGAAATACAATGAAAATTATGACATAATATGCTCCAGATAATGGCCAAACAAACAAAACCAGACAATTCTAAATTTTGATGAAAATATGGAATAAACAGAAGTGTCATACAAGTATATTTGAAAATATAAAATGGAATAGCTACTTTCAAAGACTGCTGGGCAATACCTTCTAAAATTAAAACACACCTGTGCCTTAAAACCCATCAATTCTATCCCCCAAAGTAGAGGTATAAAGCATATATCCAACAAAGTTCATAACAAAAAAAGTTGGAAACCTAAAAGTTCAGCAGTATCAGAATGGATGAGTAACTGCAGCACATTTATACAATGAATCAGAGAAACTGAATCATCTATTGCTACAAATAACCTGGATGATTCATTTAAATACAATTCTGAATAGATGCAATGGCATTCAAAAGAATTCCTACTATATAGTTCAATTTATACAAATTTCAATATGAGGTAAAACTCTTCTCTTATGTTACAAGTCAGGGTTGTAGTAATAAGGCGTCATAGATGCAGGACATATTCTGCTTTGGGACAATGGTCTTGTACCCTGTAAAGATTTATCATTTTTATTGGTTTAATAAAACACTGATTGGCTAGTAGCCAGGCAGGAAGTAGAGGCGGGGTGATGAGAACAGGAGAATTCTGGGAAGAGGAAAGGCTCAGTCTGTGGCTGCTATCCAGAAGCAGAGAAAGTAAGATGAGAATGCCTCAGTGATAAAAGGTACCAAGTCATGTGGCTACCATAAACAAGAATTATGGGTTAATTTAAGTTGTAAGAACTACTTAAATAATATAGTTGAGCAAGAGGTCAAACAGTTTATAATTAATATAAGCCTCTGTGTGTTTTGCTGTGACTGAATGGCTGCAGGACTGGGCAGGACAGAAACTTCCATCTACAATATTCTGACTTTTGAATTGGCACAATTTATGTGCTCAGTTTATGAATACATACAAGTTTTGTACTTGTGATCTATTCACTTTGTTATATGTACATACATAAACAACAAAACTTCAATTTAAAAGTTTAAGACTATACTATCATACTACAGGTAACCTATGATAGAAATTTCAAGTTTGATATTTTATTTATTTTTATTTGTTTTTACTTACTTATGTGTATATATGTGCAGCTGCCTGTGGAGGCCGAAGATCAGATCCCCTAGAGCTAGAGTTATAGACAGACTACTGTGAGGTACCTGATGTGGGTACTATGAACCAAACTCAGGTCCTTGACCATCTCTCTAACCTGAGATATTTTTAAAAACCAAACCTTTTGCACATCCATTTTCCAAGGTCCTGTCCCATCTATTCCTCAACTATTAATAACCTGTTCCTATCACCTCCATCACTATCTTCTTCTTCAAAGAAAAAGGAATAAAGTGCTGAGTGTTGAGTTGGTATAATACTTACCTTCCAAGGATGAGGGAACTCAGTTTGATCCTCAGAACTCACATTAAAAAATTAAGTTTAGTGTTGTATACTTTTAAAAACCCAGAGCTGGAAGGCAGAGACAGAAGGATCCCTGAGGCTCACTAGCCAACCAACTGAATATAATTGTTGAGATTCAGACTAGGATGGGGTTCAGTGGAACTTTGTCTCAAAAAAAGGGAAACTAGTGAGATATCTCAGTTGATAAAGTACCTAAGTTTAGATCCCCAGAATCCACTCAAAAGGCCAGACATGATGATGTGCTCCCTGTAATTCCAGTACTAGGGGAAAGAGACAGGTAAATACTTGAAGCTCATTGGCCAACCATTCTAGCCAAATCAGTAAATTTCAGGTTCCCTGAGAGACACTGCTTCAAAAAAATAAAAGTGAAGTGAGGTAAAGAAAACACATTTAATATCAATCTCTAGCCTCCACACTCATGCACACACATATTCATGCACATACATACTCATAGAACACCCCCTACATATAGATGACACCTGAGGAACACCCAAGGTTGTCCTCTACCATCCACACATGTGCACTTGAACAGACATGAACAAGCATACAGAAACAAGAAAGAAAAGAAAAGAAAAAAGGAAAGGAGATGAGCTCTTATATTTTAGTTTAAAGAATGCATAATAGGATTCTACACCAAGCAGATAGGCACCTGTAAGAGACTCAGAATTTAGTTATAGAATTGTGTCACTTTTAATAAAATCTCAAGGAACACAAAACAGCACAACAGAGAAAATGGTATTACATACCTGTAGCGCAGGCAGACGACTCTGCTGATTAGGAATTACTTTTAATGAGATTATTCCTTTGGTTTCCTTCTATTTAAAGAAAAAAAATGAAACTGTAAAGAAAACTAACTTGGGTGACACGAGTTTCCACTATAGAACCATTTTTATAGTTTGAGTTTTGGTCAGATACTACCTCCTGAACCATGAGAATGTCATATGCTCCCTATACCAGCATAACCAAAGACAAAAATAAAAAAGCAAAACCTCATGACTTTCTTCTCTTCTGCTTTTGGTCCCCAAAAGATTCCTAGAACTTCCTAAAATGATCACAAATATACCCATACTTTTTTCACCCCAATGCAAAGATTGCAAATATTATAGTCACATATAAATATGATGCACACATATGTATTTTTGTTTCTTTGGTTTTGGTTTTTCTATATAGCAGAGGCTTTCCTTAAATGACCTGTAGTAGTATTTTTTCATCAGGACTGCCAGCCCGCAAATAATGACACAAAGACTTATTATTAATTATGAAGGTTTGGCCTTAGGCTTTTTTCCAACTAGCTCTTATGACTTAATTAATCTGTTTTTAGTGATCTACATTCTGTCATATGGCTTTGTTATATCTCCTCTATACCATATGTCTGACCTCTTCAATGTCTCTCACTGGCATCTCTGAAACACCTAGATTCACCCCAAGTTCCTCTATCTTCCTGGAAGTCCCGCCTATTCTCTCCTGCCTAGCTACTGGTCTTTTAGCTTGTTATTAAACCAATTACAATGACACATCTTCACACAGTGTAAATATTCCACAACAATGATTCTTCTGTGTACTCGGGTTGTTCTTTGGGCTGCCAGCTCACAAATAATGACATGGTGACTTAGTATTAATTATGAAAGGTTGGCCTTAGCTTAGGCTCATCCCACTAGTTCTTGTAAATTAAATTAACCCATTTATCTTAATCTATGTTCTGCCATGTGGCTCGTTACCTCATTTCTCCATACTACCCATACTGCTTCCTATATATCTGGCTGGTGACTCTGTCTTCTTTTCCCCAGAGTTCTCTCTCTGCCCAGAAGTCCTGCCTAGCTTTTTATTATGCCAAACACAGTAATACATTTTTACACAGGGTACAAATACTCCAGAATAGTTCTGCGTCAGGCTCCCAAGTGCTAACACAACTAGCTACAAGTAGATACAAGTTTAACTTGTTATTTTTTAAAAAAAATTATTCAGTTTGGTTTTGTTTGCTTGTTTTGAGCCAGGTATCGTTCTGGAATATAGCCTGGAATTCACTATATGGCCCAGGCTAGCCTGGAAATCAAGTGATAGTCTGCCTTGGCCTCCTAAGGACTGTTACTATAGGCATAAACTATTGCACCCAGCTCAATGACATTGTAATTTTGTTACCATAAATATAGATGTTCATCCTCTCTTTTTCTTGCAAGTTGAATAATAAAAATATACGTAAGTATCACATACAAATGTTTTCAAATTATGTATATATTGTATAATGGCTAAACAGTTATTAATTAACATATGTATTGCCTCAATACTTATTTTTGTTGTGAGAATACTTGAGATCTACTCTCAGTATTTTTAAAAATATAATTTATAGTTTTTATCATAACCGTGCTGTACTACAAAGTTATTTTTAATGCATTCATCTTATTTATGTGGAATTTTACAGCTTTTGTCGCTCCATGATCCCCACCCATCCCTAGTCCCTGATTAACACCTTCCACTCTCTACTTCTACAGGTGTGCCTTTCTGGATTCCACATATATATTAGTTTATGTGATGGCTATCTTTCTATGTCTGGCTTGTTTATACAATGTCCTCCTGATTCACCCATGTTGTAACAAATAATGAGATTTCCTTCTTGTATAAGACAGAACAGTAAGTATTCCATAGTATGTATATACCATATATTTCTACTGCATTAGACCACTGACTCCAAGCCTGCCTAGAATGAATTGTGCTGTAGTAATTAAGCATATTTTCAAAAAGTTGTTGGCCAACAGTTTTTTGTTTATTTTCTCTGGTTTCAAATTAGCTTATGTTTTTCTAATAATAATTAGATTTCTCTAGAATGATCAGCTCTTTTCTAGTGTACCATCTTCTTAGCATATGCTCATTTACAAGAAACCCAGTATCAAAGACCCATTTGAGGAATCAATTTTCTGGCATCACTCTTATTACTATGATATTAAAATGGGGAATCTAGTAATAATTAGGTAGCATATTCAAAAAGGGAGTTTGAGGAAAGATGTATTCATACAGGTATGCATATCCTCAGGAAGAACTCTCTCTATTGCTGGATCTTTTGAGGATGTCCACACCTGTGTGAAACTGGTACCTACAGAGCAGGTTTGACAAGTAATAGGGCCATAAATACCTCTTCTAACTTCTTGCTGAACCCACTGAAGCACAACTGATATAGACATTAAAATCAGTTTTAATTTTAAGCACAAGACAGAATCAAGAAGATGGCAAAATGTCAGGAAGAACAAACAGAAGAGGCAGCCCAAACACCACGTACAATACTGCACATAAAAGATTCTGAGAATACAGACTGAATGAAGCTAATCCACCTGCTCAAAAAGCCAGACATACACACCACAATCTCTAGATGCCCAGCACAACATTCTTGTCATTTTATGAGACTGATGTTCAGTTATTGGCCCTGCTCTGCAGTTTTACTAAATTAAGGCAGAGAAACATCATTTTTTGGACAGAATATCAGAAGATCAGAAGTGATAACAGTCGTCTCAATAAGGAAACCATGCTTTTGCAGAGAAATAAGATATAGACACCTGTGCCCATTAACCCTTCATGAACACAGAAGACAGTCTTTATCTAGTACAGAAAATACGCACCATTGCAAGACAGTCTTTATCTAGTACAGAAAATACGCACCATTGCCTTCTGCAGCTGGTCTACTGAGTGATTAGTCACATTTGTGCCATTGATTTCTAGGATCTCATCCCCCACGTGAAGGGAGCCTGCCATTAAACAAACAAAAACCTCAATGTACAAAAGAGTAAAAATTCAAACAATAGCTGTCAGAATAGCTCAAGAATACCACACAAAAGAAACCACAATCTAGGGTATTTTAGAAAATAAATAAAACTCAGTTATTAGAAATATTTAACTAAGAGAGATAAAAAACAAATATGGTTCGGAATCCATCTAGGACAGTTCAATACTGCCTTGTCCTTCTTGATATCAGTCATCCAAGAGCTTCATAAAAGCATATCATCTTTGAATTCCTGGAATTAGAACAGCTGCCAACTCCAGGAGACTATTAGTCAGTGAATTCAACGTTTCTTTTTTAAATTTTATTTATATTTCATGTGCATTGGTGTTTTGCCTATATGTCTATGTAAGGGTGTCAGATTCCCTAGAACTGGAGTAACAGCTGTTAGCTGCTATGTAGGTGCTGGGAACTGAACCCTGGTCCCATGGGAGAACAGTCACTGAGCCATCTCCAGCCCCTAGGTTCAATGTTGCTTTGTTATTGTTAAACTAAACCTCCAATGTGCTTTTATTATACAGCATTCTGCCGCGTGTATCCCTGCAGGCCAGAAGAGGGCACCAAATCTCACTGCAAATGGTTGTGAGTCACCATGTGGTTGCTGGGAATTGAACTCAGGACCTCTGGAAGAGCAGGCAATGCTCTAAACCACTGAGCCATCTCTCCAGCCCTCCAATGTGCTTTTAAATGATTATTCGATGTTAAAATTCTATGTGAAGGCAGGTTATCAAATTCATGTCATGTTACCTTGAATTAAAAAAAAAAAAGAACAAACAAAAAATATAGTAAGGGCCAGGCAGTGGTGGTGCATGCCTTTAATCCCAGCACTGGGGAGGCAGAGACAGGTGGATCCCTGTGAGTTCAAGACCAGCCTGGTCTACAGAGCAAGTACCAGGACAGGCTCCAAAGCTACAGAGAGACTCTGTCTCAAAAAAACTAAAAAACTAAAAAAAAAAAAAACAAAAAAAAAACAGAGTAAAACATAAAAGGGTAGGAATTAATGATGTAGGAGACTCATTGGAGTAGCCATACCCAAATATTAGGCATAATTTCTAGTACTGTACAGGCTATCCGCAGCTGCAAAAACATGCTATATTTTAACTTATTATTCTGTTCTTTCACTGCTCCCTAAAATATATTTTAGTAAATGATACATCTGAAAATTGCTGGCACTCTAACATTAAGGAAATACAATAGTTAATTATAATCACTTAATTTTGGTTTCCTCATTTAAGATGTTTATAAAATAAAGGAAATTATTATTTTATAATAAACGAGAAAATCCAAGCTCCAAGAAGGTAGAGAAACAGCTTTGTTTACTGTACATATCAGTCATATATAATGGGTACATATAGTAATGAGTCACTTATTAACTAAATGGGAAAAATATCATTATAAAACAATATATAAGGAGTGCAGAGGGCTGCGTGGTGATGGTGCATGCCTTTAATCTCAGCACTTGAGAGGCAGAAGCAGATGGATTTCTGAGTTCAAGGCCAGCCTGGTCTGCCATTGGCCATGCCAGAAGAGCAGCAAGTTACAATTGAAGTTTCAGGTATCAGCCCAGCAAAAGGGAATCCTCTGATGGGCCAATCGCGCTTAAGCAAGGCCACCGGACTTCAAATCCTGAAATGTCTTTTGCTTCTGTTCTGCCTTTCCATGTTTGTTGCGGCTCTCTTTATCTGGTATCTAGCATGTTGTGAGTGGACGTGGGGAGATCTCCACAGCCTGTAATATAGTAATATCTCTCAGAAACACCCCGTTCTACTGGGCATTTTTACCTGTGGATGATCAAGATTACCCCTCCCTAAGGTGTACTGTCTAATTTGATAATAATAATGATAGCTTATACAGAATTTTGATGAATAAAAATAAATACAAGGATATGTTTCATAGCCAGGGTCTGTGAGTCTCACCTAAGGAGCTGCATGTATTGTAGCTCAAGTTAATGATTAACAAGTGAGTCCCAATAGCCGGGCTAGTTTAAATTTTCTTAACCTTAATGTTGGGAGATGTGCTCACAGGTCTCCGAGGGCATCACAGCTGAAACAAAGCTTTGAAAATAATGAAGTTAGACTAAGATATTTTTGTTAAATAACTTTGAGGGGAAAAACCCAAGAAGACAATCTTAAGTTTTAGAAAGGCACTTAGTTGAATACAGAACTCTTTAAAGTCAGGGAATAAGAACAAAGCAGCCCAATTATTACTGGCTGATGTACTCTCCTTGCTAGGTTTGGCTGATGACCAAAGGTGATGATTAATTCTGTATACACATTTATGTCCTCAATCTCCTGATAAAAACTACTACTGAATGGATATGTACCCTAAAGATTTAAAGTAAAACTGATTGATTCTTTTTCATCTATAAATGTGTAGGTTTGTGATTCCTTTAAGATTCCTTATAAGATTACCTTTAAAGACAAGTAGTAAAGTAATTGGCCCTTTATTTGTAACTGCAAAATGAAGCCTGACAGTAAAAGACCTTGCTGGCCACATGGTTAATCTATAACAAGTTGCTTGGGTATGAATGTATGTGGGTTCTTGGAATAAATTGATTTTTGCCTGTAATACATAAAATGTTGAATCGTATGAGGGAGATAAAAACATGTTTTTTTTTTACCTATATTCATTCACTTGAGAAATGGAATGCAACTGTTTTGACTCTTGTGTTGCCTGGAAAATTCTGTTGGGTTATAAAGGCTATAAAACAACATGAGATGAGAGAGACAGAATAAAGGGAGAGAATAAAGAGAGAAAATAAAGAAGAAGAAAGAATAAAACCATCAAGAGAGTTTGTGAGAGTCTTTTTCCCTAACGCCCCTCAGATAGAAAGTTTAGACTCACTGACTCCTTGGATTCCTGTCAAAGCCCTGTCTGTGCAGCTGGAGGCTGATTCCCCAGACAGCAGTACTGGTCTATAGAGTGAGTTCCAGGACAACCAGGGCTACATAGATAAACCCTGTCTTGAAAAACCAAAAGAAAAAAAAGAAGGTACAGAGGAAGAGATGGTGGTACTGAGTAGTTTATACTAAGATCTTACCATACAATTTTCTAAAGAGTCAGTTAGGGTATTTTTTTAAGACAAGTTTTTTTCTGTGTAGCTCTGGCTGTCCTGGAACTCACTTTGTAGAACAAGTCTGTCTTGAACTTAGAGATCCACCTGTCTCTGCTTCCTGAGTACTGGGATTAAAGGTATATGCCATCATGCCTACCTTAAAGAGTCAGTTATTAACTCAAAGAATCTCTTGGCACTTTCATGAAAATGCTATCAGTTTTGAGGACTATAAACTTCATGTCCCACACCACTGAATAGAGAGTAAATAATTAATCACAGAATAAAACTAGACTTAGGATCCCCTCCTCCCTGCCAGAGTACCTTGTCTATGAATCATGCCACCATGGAGAATTCTGGCCACAGTACATGACTGTTTTTCATTCAGCTTCAAAGTAATTCCCTGGAATAAAGGCAATGGAACAGTAAGCTTTGTTTTAAGCCCTTTTTGAGGATAATCTTTAAAGCATCTAAAAAAAATTGCAGAGAACACCATTTCCATTTATATCAGGGTCAGTTCTCAAGTAGAAAAAGCAGGAAGCTTGCTTGCTTTGAAAGAAACTTGAGATGGGGACAAAAAACAGTGAAGCTGGCAGATTGTACAATTCCATGAGTAGCCATTGGCAGTTTTATGGCCCAATGATTTCACTAGTAGAGTATAAATAATGAATGACAATAGACAAGAGATTACCATGGGCTCCTCTGTGATCTTCTCAAACTGTATGAGACGTACTTTCCTTGCTTCTTGCCCTTTAGAATGGGCAGGGCTACCTGGAACAGTAGACCCATTGGTGTACATGTCCTCAGTGGCAACATTCAACTGATTCAATGCAGTCTGTCAAATGAAAACAGATTAGTGGATAAAACAGCAAAGGCCCATGGTCAGTCAATTATCTGTAATTAGAAACTAAAAAGCTTTGAAAACCCAGTTCTTTCAGATAAAGGAATGATTTTTTATTACAAATATTCTGAGGGATTAGAAAACTCAATGGTTAAGAGCTCAAACTACAAAATAAAAGAGATGAACTCAGAAACATGTTGAATAAAGGAAGTCTTATTAAAAAGAATATGTACAATATGATAAAATGTATGTGAGATTTTAGAACAAACAAAACTATTGTAAATAAGACAGTAGTTGTCTTGAAGGGAAAGGACTGGCATAAGAGAATTAGAATGCTGGTAATATTTGGTATCATGATACAGTGTATAATAATATACTCAAGATTTTTGCATTTTACTATATTTAAAATTTACCTTAAAAAGTAACCATAAACAAGCTAGGCAGCAGTGGCGCACACCTTTAATCCCAGCACTTGGGAGGCAGAGACAAAGGCAGGTGGATCTCTTTTTGTAGACCAGCCTGGTCTACAAATCAGAGTTCTAGGACTTTACACAAAAAAACTCTGTCTTGAGACACATATTGGAACACTGGACTTAACTCCCTAGGTTCAAATGAGAAGCAGAAGGAGGGAGAACGTGAGCAAAAAAGGCAGGACTAGAGGGAACCTTCATCTGACGATAGATGGAGATAGAGACGGAAACCCACATCGGAGTACTGGACTGAGCCCCCAAGGTCCAAATGAGGAGCAGAAGGAGAGAGATCATGAAAAAGGAAATCAGAACCGTGTGGGGTGCGTTCACCCTCGGATACAAGGGGACTAATCGAATGAGAGCTCACCAAGGCCAGCTGGACTGGGACTGAACGAGCATGTGATCAAACCGGAGTCTCTAAATGTGACTGACATAGGGGCTGACTGAGAAGCCATTGTCAATGGCACTGGGTCTTGTTTTGTCTGTATGTACTAGCTTTCTGGGATCCTAGTCTGTTTGGATGCTCACCTTCCTAGACCTGCAGGGAGAGGGGAGGAACTTGAACTTCCCACAGGGCAGGAAACCCTGACTGCTCTTAGGACTGGAGAGGAAGGACGGGAGGGAGTGGGGGTGGAGGAGGAGAGGGAGTGGGGGAAATGGAAGGGTATGGGGAGGAGGGGAGGAAGTGGAAATTTTATAAACAAATAAATAAATTAATAAAAAAACTCTGTCTTGGAAAACAAACAAACAAACAAAAACCAAAAACCAAACAAACAAAACAAAAACAAAAAACATGAACAAATATGAACTCTAGGCAGCGATATACACACTGAAGTTCTTTGGGGTGAAACATCCTGACATCTGCACCTTGCCTTCAAATGCAAAAAAAAGTGGATAGATGGGTGGTTCTAGGTAGATATATGTGTTAAGGCAAATAAGTCAATATGTCAATTATAGAAACCAGAATGATACTTTTTTCCTCTTTTCAGTAAGTTTTAATTTTTCCAAATATAATACTGGTGAAGAATAGCATTAAGGGAGTAAAAAGGGGGACTGGAGAGAG